CCTTCCTTTTGAGTTGAACCTGGCTGTCATTATCCTGGAGGAGATTGGTTCCCACTGCATGAGAGCTTTGGCTGCTGTTGGTGACATCATGATGGCCACTCCCCCCGTGTGCTCGTGGTTGTCCTCTGGGTGGCCGGAATAGATTATTGTCTTCCCAGTAGGTAGTTGGCACCTTCCACTTCCGTTCCATCTGCTTTCGCAGATTCCCAACACTTCTATTCTGTACCTTCTCATTTCAGCGGCTGTCTGGGCAGCCTTTCCAGTTTCGTACATTGTAAGAACATTCCAGGTACCCATCCTTACTTTTGCTTTCATCGAAAGAAGGCACGCACATCGGCTGACTGGCTTCCCGAAGGCTTTCACCGGCCTGCGTCATTTCACTCCCCCGATTCCAGCTAAAAATAAGGTTACTGTTTATATTTTTAGGATTTTTAATATATTTGTGCATTGAAGTTTCTGTAGCGATTTGGTTAAGTCTTCGGGGTGTGGCTGCTAGCACCACGCCCAAACCCTCCCTCTTTATCCGGTCTTGGGACCGGCTAGAAAACTAGCAAGCTAGTAGTCTAGGCGAGGTTGGATAACGATAATAGGTTTCTGCAATAAATCCAAAGTATACAACACGGTATGAGTGGAGCAAGTAGACAGTAATGGCCAGAGAGAGAAGGCGGAGCTACCAACAGTATAGTGTATTTCGAATTGTACTCGGAAGTTATATATATTTAGACATGAATCGTTTTAAACAAAAATCACGTACAATGTTTCTAATTTCAACAACTAACAAAAAGTGTACAATTATATTGTTACGTGCTCCACAGACATGCTATTCTAGGGTGGTCAGCACCCCTTATACATCTGTTTAGCTTACTACTTTAGTCTGCAGACTGCACAAGTAATTCTCTGTGACTATGTTTGACTTCATTTCACACGAAGAGCCTATGACTTCTTTCACGTTAACAGCATGACTAGTATATTTTAGTTCACTACTCACTAAAACGTTCGAATCCTGTACCTACCTTAAAAATATTTCAATTATTTCACAAAAATAACTTCATATCTATTTACTACGAAGACTTTTTTTGTTTTGAAATGTGAACAGATCAATCTCTTCCCTGGCTTCTAACGCAAATTGAAGTTTCACATGCGGAAGGTCATAACCTAAAGACGAAATCATTTTCTATATCTCCAACTGTGTGAAAGGTGCCTCATGATACATTACTTTTCCACTCTTAAAATGATGCAATATAACGACATCATACTTGATGTTTGAAGTTGTCATAAGCAGGAAAATACAAACTTGACACAATGAACTACAGCACCAAGTGTTTTCAGAATAAAACGAACTCATTTTATGTTCCACTTGCATTCAATTGTGAAATAATACATTTATTCTCGGAATAATAATTAAATATTAGAATATATTGATGTGGTGTTTTACAAACAAAGAGGTAGGTCAACAATGCACTCAAGATCACCATGTGCATATCAAGTTCGAATAGTTTTTTTGAGGACAAGTGAAGTATTTTCATATACTAGTCCATTATTTTTTGTTTTTAGGGCAAAATTTTTGGGTGTGCTGTAGCTTTTTTTTAAGATAGCTCACTACCAAAACAGCTCTCAAATGTTTCTCTCCACTTCTCCTACTAAAAGTATGTAACTGTGCCTTAAGTTTCGTTGGATGTATGTCCAAACATCTGTGAAGAGAGTTTCTCAATAAAATTATCAGTCGAATGAACACCGTTTTTCATACTACCAAAAATTTCAGGTAGGAAATACCAGCAAGTGCAAACGTATGCAGAACTTTGCATAGGTGTGAAGTTTCCCGAAAAATCGGCGAATATATCAAACTACTTTCTTTGCCTCGGGTATAGTTATGTTCTTTCATTTTATTTTTATTTTATCATTGGAATTCACTGCAATTAGCTTCATCTTCATCGTCTTTACTGTTATCATCGCCATACTGTTAATTTTTTTGACAACACTACCTATAGTTTTAAAAGCTTTATACCAATTCACTTGCGTAATAATATTCAAAAGTTTTGTGATTCATCCACGTCAACTCTACCGCCTTGGTACATCATTTTAATTATCATTATTCTTTTCATTTGTATATTGACTGAGCGATTACTAGTGACACTTAATGCCTTTTTCTGTAATATAAATACAGCTGAACAGCTTGAAAATGAATTTGTTGAAAAGAAACATTTCTTCGCTGAACAAAAACTATGCTTTTCTGTATGAATATATCAAAGTCTGCTGTCAAAACAGTCAGGGCATCACACTCTGGGCAAATCGAAATGCTACTTAGAAAAATGATATTCTTCTGAAAACCTGACGACAAAAAGTGATGATTTCACTAAAATTGCGTTCTGTATCACTCATCTCATGTGCTATCGAAGTCACGTAAATTTTGCGAAATCAGGCTTTTGGGTTACCTGGAAAACATGACGAAGAGAAGCTGCTTTCAGTCCACTTCAGATAAAATTAGATTTTTTAAAGTCTCATTAGTGACATAAGCACTTACCAAAATGCACATAAAAAGCATTCTGAGAGTACAAAGTGATAACAGCAAGGTAACTACTAGTCAATTGAGTTGCAATTTCATTCTTCTGAGATTGACAAGTTTTACACTGTTACATAGGAAGAGACTGGTCTTTCATTTATATATATATATATATATATATATATATATATATATATATATATATATATATATATATAAGTTTACTGTCAGGAAATAGAGATGATTTAGGTAGAATATCAGTAGGAAGATGCGAACAAGCAAATTAATGAAATACAACACAATTTCATATTATCTGCTTCGCTAAGCATCTTTAGGCACAATATTTGTGAGATATGGAATGTAATAATAATAATAATAATAATAATAATAATAATAATAGACGTTGAATATTTAATATCATCAAGGTAAAGACTAACAATTTTAGATGTTTACTGACTTTGCGTCCTCTGAATATAGGTATTAGTTTCCCGACATTTTCCTGTGACAAGGAGGTAAGTTTTCTTTGATTCCTGTTAAATCTTTTCTTACTGAACTATAGTTCAAATTCTATGGACCTTATGTTAATCACTGTCACTGTGCTAACTTGTCTATCCGTTCGAAATTTATAGAATCCTATACTAAAACAGAGAGTTGAGGGCTGAAGACAGAAGAAATGTTCACCGAGACTAAATACAATTCAAACTAACAAAAGGATCAACTTTTCATTCTATACACTATTTTTAAATAATATCAGCTTGTCTCGAGAATGCTTTGTTCTTCTTTACAATGTTTAGTTATTCACTTCTCTTTTGAATTCCAACATTTCTTTGTAAGAGTTGTACTGGCTTAAAGGTAGACCTTAAAAATAAACGCTCCTACAAAAACTTCACCGTTTTATGCCCTTAGCAGTGCTCTACCTAACGTGTAAGTATTGACGAACGGAATCAGAGTAAAAAGACTTGATATGATAGGTGTGTCTGAATAGAGTTATATTTTATACAAATGAGATATGAAACGTGATAAATAAAGAGTTTATTCAACTTATCTGGTGCCTTGATTAGTGGTAGGCTGTAAGAGTGCACTGAATGAAAGCACAACAGGAGAGCGAACCGAATGTGTACAAGAGAGTTAAAAAAAACTCAAAAGATGATGATCCGCCAAACGAGTGACTGAGTTCAAACAAAAGTTCAAGGGTTCAATGTGCACTACATCTTCATAATCGGCCTTTCCAATTAAGCATAAACCTATCACTATTCTTCAGGAAGATATTTAACTGTTTATTATTTCAGTCTGTAGGAATAACTGTCACACTCTACATCCTAATTGCCCATTTAACTTTACGTATTTTCGAATCAAAATATGCTGGATCATATTAATTTGAGCCAGTTTTACATTCTGAATTCACTTATAACCTAACACTTATAATAATCCCTTCATTATTAAAGCTCTAGGTTATTTTCATCATTCTTCAAAAGCTCCATTCCCTAAATAAGTGATTATTTTTTGCTTACTTTTATTAACATCTCAGAATACCTCAAATTAGTAACCATTCTGAACTGTTGTTGCCGACTGCTTTGAGTACGGCATATTTTGTTTAGCATCGCGTTTTAATCTCCTCTGGATAAGTGATTTGACTTCATTTTATCATTCATACAATAAAAAAAAAGACAACACAGAAAGGGAAATTTCTTATGCATTTTCTTATGAAATACACATTTCTTTTTATTGATGAAACATAAAAATAGAGGTAAATTAAAATTGTGAAATCAAATTTTGTGTACTGAAATAACCGAGAAAAAGAAATAATACATGGGTTGTATGTAGCGTATAGTCATGATGACGCATGTATTGGTAAAGTTCTCAGCATTTATGCGCATAGAGTAAGCCAACTCAAAAATCTGTTGGATATATAGGTAAATAGATAGATAAGAAAAGAGATAGTGATAGCAAAAAGTTGTACAAACTAAATTTAAACTTATTATCTATAATACTTTGACTAAAAGGGGGATAATTAAAGTAATATTCTAATTGAAATTAAACATATCTAATTCTCTAAATCTATTACATTTGAGATATATGAACAATTTGCGAGAAATCGACACACTATCAGACTGACAGTAAAAGTGTATTGTAGGGCGGCAAATTGTCTTACCAGACGTGGATAATATTAAAAGTAGTATTGATTTTTATTATACATGGTAGTATAGCAGAAGACATTGATAAAATGCAGCAATTATTCAATTCAAAAAGAAAGGAGAAACAAAGATCATTTGCATATATTTGTGTAAATGAAAAAGCGGATACAAGATGTAAGTATTGAGGATAGATAAGGCTTGATGGAATAAAGCAAAGACGAAAAGAAAGAAATAAAACTAGTGAAAATAATTTTAAAAATAAAAGCTTTTCATTTTCAATAGGAGCACTGGTTAACACTTTTCTTTTGATCGCAAACAATTTTATCTTGTTCAATGTATAAGTGTTTTTTTTATACACAATTAGATTATTCATTTTCTGTATTTTCGGATGGTGTTTTAGCTGATGGTGGTGCCGCTTTGGGAAGGATACCAGTTGGAGGGACAGTTGCATTTTTACCTTCTTCTAAATGAAATCGTCTATAGTACAATTGAATTTGAGTGAAGACACACTTCCAATCAGGTACTTTCATACGCATTATATCTTCAATATCAAGTAATGGAGCAACATTACCAAGTTTTCTATAAGAATGAATGAGAATAATGATTATGTAACTATTATTGACATGAATAAACACTCAAATACAATATCTTAAAAGACTTTGATGTATATATATATATATATACGTTCATAATCATAAATTCAAACTGCTGTCTTTTATGTAGGTAGAACGCGATACTTCGAATATGGCTAAGTTAAAGTAACAGATTTTTACATAGAATTGTAAGGCGAACAGATTAATCTTCAGCTTGTCATAATCCAGTCTAAAATATACCCAGCTATTGACTAACACCAGTGTTTTAGTCTCATCCTTCAATATGGATGAAACTAACACACCTTTTCTTCAGATATTCTAATAAATTTTAAAGACCATAATGAGTACAAGTGAATTTCTATATTAACTGTTATTTGAAAATCAAATTATGAAAAAAAAGTCAAAAGCTATTCCCAGCTGTATTATTAATGATAACTTTAGATAGTTGGAGGCGATCAGCAGGAAGCCTTAGACCTACGTTTTGTGCTAGTTGGCACTCACCAGTCAGTAAGGCGTATCTGCAACCTTGAAGGAACTAATGTCCAACTCCTCTGAGAATCAAACCCACGTCACCCAGTGCAGCCTGGAGTCAGAGACTTTACCACTGAGCTATTTGGGCTTGCGATCGACGTCCTGTAGGATTGTAGTGGGTATTTTCATTTACATTTGATGTTTAGAATGACAGTGAAAGATTCACAGTTAAACGATCCATCTCAGGAAACAAAAAAACTCCAACAGCAAAGCTATAAACCTACTTGATCGTTTCATTTGTAAACTAAAGAAATAGCTATTAGTTCACCTTCGAAATCAAGGTTCACTAACTTTTTCATTCATCACAATCCAGGATATATCTTGAATAGATAGATGATGTCAGTTGATTGACATGTGTGATGGTTATAAATGACAAGTATTTTTGTTGAGGGATAAAGAGAAAGAATTGTTAAAAAACAAAGAAATATCTGACATTCACATATCTAATCCTTTAAGAAGATATAAAGAAAACAAGTTATGTTTGTAAGGAGTTCAAACAAAGCACAAAGAGTGATTCAAGTTTACAAAAAACTGTTTGTTAAATTCATGTATACATTTTTCAGCCTCATCGTAATATCAAAGTAAAGACAGAAAGTAAATTAAATATTCCTCATAAAATATTTAGAGAACCCTTTTAAAGCAAGTAGATAATTTCGGTAACTTCACCTCAGGTCTTGCAATTATGTATTTGAATTATTCAAGATAGACATTCGATACCATTGTGATGAATGGAATTAAACTTAAAGCATATTAATTTGTAGACAACAATCAAGACGATTATAATGTTATCTTTCAGGTGCTTACATACATATATTTATGAGCAGTCCGTCATTACAGATTTGTGAGTAGACTATGTGTATACTTGTACAAAAAAAATAGAACCCCTGTCGCTAAGCGCTTGAATGGTAAAGCACCTAGAAGTAAGACTAAAATGTGCAGTGACAGCTTACAGATAATAACTATATTTATCTGGTCTGGGCGAGTGTTAAAATCATACTGTTTTCCCTCGATTAGAGACGAAAGCTGTGGCAAGGAAGGGGATGGAACAAAATTTCCTGAAGGTTTAAAATGACCTGAAAAGTTTTGATGGAAATTTCTTATCAGTCGGAGGCGTGAAACCCCATAGGATCAAGATGACATTTCGTGTGGAATAACAGGGACTGAATTCTTATCAGTCTAGTTCTTAGATCCACTAACTGAACTCTTGATAGAACTTACTACTGTTTTTCTTAATCAAGTTAAACAATTCCTAGAAAAGTAACAGTGGGCTTTCCTAAATATTATATTTGTAAAGTCGTCTCCAGAGAACATTTAAATTTAGAAATCCACACCGATGTCTCTAGAGAGAAAAGATTCCTTCGAATGAAGTTATAAAAAGGTGGATGGAATTCACCTAAATTACCTACGTAGGATCTGGTAAACATAAAAAGTCATTTGTCTGTCACTCAACAATCACAGTTTTCCAGGAACAGGTGCTAAGCTATTCTCACTGAACACAATCTCATCTGAATCAATATGTCTTCCACTATTAATCTCTTCTTCTGCCTTGCAAAAATTAGATTTGAGAACTGCCCCTTTGTTCTTTGTTACGGTGTGGTTGTTTGTGACTGCATTTAATGTTTCAGCTGTTCTGAGTATGCTCTGAACGATGAAGTACTCATATTAGCACACAGCGGTAATGCTTCCAATTCTTCGCGTAATTATAAAAGTAAAATTAGGAAAAGGGTTGAACTGAGACACAACCTATGTTTAGTACATTTGTGTATTTAGTTGTTCTTTGGGAAGTACTAGTTGGTAGTGAAAAGTACTCTGAGACAGCTTAAAAATTATATGGATAATCTACATGATAAAAACCTCTTACATAACACTATTTTATAGACTACATTTTATCTAGAAGTAATCTGGTGGATAGTGACTAGCAGTGGAATACAGGATGTGCATTTCTTTCTATTCGGGGATCATCATCTGAATGTACTTGCATTCCTTAATGAGTGATGGTGTACTGGTGAGGTTCGAACCCGGGGCCAAAGCTTTATCCACTAGACTACTAGGGCCTATGAAGAACTCAGGTGCATCCAGTTGAAGAGTCCTTCATATGAAGAAATGCGCATCCTGAATCCCACTACAAGTCGACATCCACCTCAGAAATCATCAATGCATCCTCAAAAGGGGCCAACGTGTCAATAAAGGCAGAACATTTCGGTCCAATCAGTCGACGAGAAAAACAAAATTGAAATTAAAACACATTTTTTCGCCTTGGTAACCATAATGTTTATCTAAGATTATAGTTAATATTATCATAAAACTACTTATGTTTTTCACAACGTACAACCTCATAAATTTAAACCTCTGATATTTCAAAGCAGGTCAAAGGAACTTTCTCACGGATAAATTAGTCAACATTCCGTTTTCATACTTTATGAAATTAGCTGGTTAAACAACCTGAAGTCCCAAATTTATAAAAATGTGTATAAGGTCTCCACACTACTGTTTTCATCTGATGACATACAGATAATGTGCAATAATGCATGCTTATATTTTATCACATACACTATCTCAGTATTTTAGCTACGTCATGGCATATCCTGAATACAAATGATTGTTTACAATATCACGATTAATCTACTTCATGAATTTTTACCATTATGCAAACAATATTTTCTCACGTTGTCGCCATCATATAAATAAATGGTTATAATCCCATTACTTATGCATTAAATCATGCATACTAGACATCCGGCAATTTATACACATAAATGAAAACAATAGAGACCATTTACATATTAGTGTGGAATCACACTGAATATTCATCACAGTTTATTCATCAACAAAGACAGTTATCTTTACTACTTGTGCAGTTATAAGTAAGTTCATATCATAATGAAATATAGTTACATGCTAACGTCTCATTTAGAAATCAGTAATTTTAGATACCCATTATGTTGGTAGGTACTTCAGCTACTCTTCTATAGTTCACTGAATATCTTATCTGATGACATGCAGCGTACAAATAATTCAAATAAACATGATGGATCAATTCTGAATCGTCAGTTGCTTTTATTAGTGCATGTAAAATACTGCTCCAGTATGTCGATGCTGGCGTCGGTGGCATAGCGGTTAGAATACTCTCCGACCATGCACATAGTCCGCGGTTCGATCCCCCGCCACGGACGCACTCCTTTACCTCGCTAAGCCAGAAATAATGCTGGTAAAGAGGAAAGGTTGGGCATGGAGCTAGCAACCCCATCCTGCAAAATAAACACTGCTACAGAAACTTCAAGTCACTAGCTTGAGGCCCTATGTTCCACTGGGGAATGTGAAGGGAAAAAAGTGTCGATGCTGCGACACAGATGTAAAGGTATAGTTGGATTCTTAGTCACCCATCAATTGATTAGACGATATAAACTGCCTAAGAAACTGATATTCGTTGTTCCTTATTTCGCTGATGTATTATTCAGTGAAACCTCGGGACGGTAAAAACCTATGGTTGGAAACAATTGGTGACATTGCTCAAAACCGTTCTCAGTGGCGCAGATGCATCCACTCCCTGTGACTTATGATCTTCAATGAAACTGTTTTGTATTTCTTTATTACTCCTTTGTCTCACACCTCTGCTCACTGTTTCTATTATGCTTTTCTTGTACTTTCTTCTCTTGCTTCGCGTGCTACACGGAATGTGGCGACTTGAACTTCCGCACATTTGTGCAAAGTTCTATGTCGAAAACAGACAGACAGTGAAACCTTTATAATATACTTCATGAAAGGGTGATTTATAAAAATTAAGTAAGAATTTCCCAGCTTCTGATCTGCATTCTTTTGTGGGCAAAATATTTGACTGATTAAAAATATAAACTGTTACATCAGTAAAATGGAATTTATGATTTATTTAATATATATATATATATATATATATATATATATATATATATATATATATATATATATATATCTTTGAACAAAATGAGGACAATAAAATGAGCAATGGCTGAGGACCATGTATACACACGGGTGTAACGTCCCAAACTAGGACAGAACTACTGTTTAATTGTTTTACTCTTACTCTGTTCAAGTTCATCAACAGAAATGTTGTATAAAATTAATATATATGCAGTATTCAGTTGCTAACGTCAACAAATAAACTGTATAATTATATAAACAGTGATGAGACCATTGAGTGATATCTCAGTGGAACCCGATTGGGAAATGGCGAGTTGAGCGTCCAAGGATGACATGGAGAAGTTCATGTGTGAAGGGGATTAGAGCTTATAGGCAATCTTGGAGCCAGCTAAAGAGGACTGTAGAGAACAGGCAAAACTGGAGATGTGATGCTGAAGTTCTATGCTCCACTCGCAGCCCAAAATAATAATAAATATAATAATCCTTAAAATATAATTTGAACATCTGTAATTGACTTTCACTCTTCCCATACTTCAAAGTTAATAATTCTTGTTAACT